TTTTATTATTTTATATCTTTGCAATATTTTCAGTTTTTTTATATTTATTTTTTTTTGCAATCGTTTGCTTTAGTTGTTGTTATTTTTGTTGCATTTATAGTTTTACATTTTTAACAATCATGATGTTTTTATAACATAAAAAATATTTATTGTGCCATTTTCTATATGAAAGAAAAAAAAAAAAAAAAAAATTGCTAAAGAATTTTTACAAAATTTTCTGTTTCTATCGTTGTTGTTATTATTGTTGCTGCTGCTTCAACTACCACTCTACTAAGTACTTCAGCAGTAGTAAATAGTAGTTGTTGCTGTAGCATTTGGTTTTCAGTTCACTTGAATATTTTACAACTGCTTTTCGCATTTAGTTTTTCTTACAATAAAAAATCAACAAATTTTCCCTGATTGTTTATTTTGTTTTTTATTTTTTGGTTTGTGCTAAAAATTGCTTTTCATACTTATTATTATGCTTTACAATTTCTAGTTTAAATTGTGAATGAACAATTTGGATTCTTGGTAGTAATTTGAAAATATAAATTTTTCCCTATTTCTATATTCATTATTATTTGAGTTTATAATATGAAAAGAATATGGTAAATCGTATTCATTACATTTTCATATTTTTACAAGGATTTTATATGTTAAACACATAATATACTTAAATGAATTTAGCACTTTTTAAAAAAGGAATTTGAATAAAATAGGAAAAAATGTGAAAAGATAGCAGAACTAGTACTAAAAGGGAACTAGAACAGAACTAGAACAGAACAGAACTAGAACAGAACAGAACTAGAACAGAAACAGAACAAAAGAACAGATAAAGAACTAGAACAGAACTAGAACTAGAACAGACTAGAACAGAACATACGAGACGAACTAGAACAGAATCTAGAACAGACTAGAAACAGAACTAGAACAGAACTAGAACAGAACTAAACAGAACTAGAACAGAACTAGAACAGACTAGAACAGAACTAGACTACAGACTAAAAGCAGAACTAGAACAAACCTAAACGAACTAGACACAAAACTAGAACAGAAACTAGAACAGAACTAGAACAGAACTAGAACAGAACTAGAACAGAACTAGAACAGACTAGACCAGAACTAGGCAACAGAACTATAACAGAACTTAGAACAGACCCTAGAACAGAACTAGAACAGAACTAGAACAGAACTAGAACAGAACTAGAACAGAACTAGACAGAAACAGAACAGAACTAGAACAACTAGAACGGAACTAGAACAGAACTAGAACAGAAACTAGAACAGAACTAGAACAGAACTAGAACAAAACTAGACAGAACTAGAAACAGAAATAGAACAGAACTAGAACAGAACTAGAACAGAAATAGAAAAACAGACAAACTAGAACAGAACTAGAACAGAACTAGAACGGAACTAGAACAGAAACTAGAACAGAACTAGAAACAGAACTAGAAACACAGAACTAGAACTAGAACTACTAGAACAGAACTAGAACAGAACTAGAACAGAACTAGAACAGAACTAGAACAGAACTAGAACAGAACTAGAACAGAACTAGAACAGAACTAGAACAGAACTAGAACAGAACTAGAACAGAACTAGAACAGACTAGAACAGAACTAGAACTACTAGAACAGAACTAGAACAGTACTAGAACAGAACTAGCAGAACTAGAACAGAACTAGAAACAGAACTAGAACAGAACTAGAACAGAACTAGAACAGAACTAGAACAGAACTAGAACAGAACTAGAACAGAACCAGAACAGAACTAGAACAGAACTAGAACAGAACTAGAACAGAACTAGAACAGAACTAGAACAGAACTAGAACAGAACTGGAACAGAACTAGAACAGAACTAGAACAGAACTAGAACAGAACTAGAACAGAACTAGAACAGAACTAGAACAGAACTAGAACTAGAACAGAACTAGAACAGAACTAGAACAGAACTAGAACAGAACTAGAACAGAACTAGAACAGAACTAGAACAGAACTAGAACAGAACTAGAACAGAACTAGAACAGAACTAGAACAGAACTAGAACAGAACTAGAACAGAACTAGAACAGAACTAGAACAGAACTAGAACAGAAAAGCAAATCAACTAAATTTAGGAACTAAACTACATTAGAACTAAAACTACATTAGAACTGAACTATTTTGATTAAATACATATTTTAATAATGAAATACACGTATTTATGTGTGTTTAACTTTTTTATTTCTTTATATTTAGTTTTATTTAAATAAGAACTGCAATTGTTTTTTAAATAAAAAACATGATAAATGTTTTCCATTCTATATGTTGCTGTTGCTTTTTTATTATAGCTTTCCTAATATGAATTTCTTTTTTGTTTTGTTGTCGGTCTCTAAACAAAAACTTTAAGAGTTGATCCCGTTTTTTCTTTAGTTTGCCTCCCGTTTTTTCCCTTTTGCTCCAAATGTTTGTATGTGTGTATTAGAAAATGTTGATCCAGAAAGTTTTATTGTTGGTCTGTTTCCTTTTTTTTAAGAGAGTGTGTGGAAAAGAAACTATGTATTTTGGGGGAAAGGGAAAAAGTTTAGATTTATATCAGAGCTTTTTTGTATTTTTTTTGTTTAAATAAATAGAGAAAAAATGCTCATGTGCATTGTTTATTTAGGGAAACCCAAAGTTTTGTGCTATTGTTTTTTTTTGTTAAGTTATTTATAAAGTATTTAAACGTTGCAATTTAGACAATTGATTGTTGTTGTTCCTGTTGTTTGGTATGAATAGCATTGAATATGCATGTGTGCTCGTTATATTTAGTGAATGTGCTCTCGTTAGTAAAACTTGTATTTAGTATTTATTTTAAGTATAAATGTTTTCAAAATTTCCTTGGTGTATTGTTGGGTGTTTCTTTTTTTTTTGTTATTCAGCTAGTAAGTTTTCCTTATGGTTTTATCATCAGCTAGCCAGCCAGTAACTAAACAGTAATGAATACAATCCAGAAAAACGAGGGAACACGGAGAAAGGGATAGTCAGTGTAGCAGTTCAGTTGTAGTTCTGTTCTAGTTCAGTTCTAGTTCAGTTTCTAGTTCAGTTCTAGTTCAGTTCTAGTTCAGTTCTAGTTCAGTTCTAGTTCAGTTCTAGTTCGTTCTAGTCAGTTTCTAGTTCAGTTCTAGTTCAGTTCTAGTTCAGTTCTAGTTCAGTTCTAGTTCAGTTCTAGTTCAGTTCTAGTTCAGTTCTAGTTCAGTTCTACGTTCAGTTCTAGTTTCAGTTCTAGTTCAGTTCTAGTTCAGTTCTAGTTCAGTTCTAGTTCAGTTCTAGTTCAGTTCTAGTTCAGTTCTAGTTCAGTTCTAGTTCAGTTCTAGTTCAGTTTCTAGTTCAGTTCTAGTTCAGTTCTAGTTCAGTTCTAGTTCAGTTCTAGTTCAGTTCTAGTTCAGTTCTAGTTCAGTTCTAGTTCAGTTCTAGTTCAGTTCTAGTTCAGTTCTAGTTCAGTTCTAGTTCAGTTCTAGTTCAGTTCTAGTTTCAGTTCTAGTTCAGTTCTAGTTCAGTTCTAGTTCAGTTCTAGTTCAGTTCTAGTCAGTTCTAGTTCTAGTTCAGTTCTAGTTCAGTTCTAGTTCAGTTCTAGTTCAGTTCTAGTTCAGTTCTAGTTCAGTTCTAGTTCAGTTCTAGTTCAGTTCTAGTTCAGTTCTAGTTCAGTTCTAGTTCAGTTCTAGTTCAGTTCTAGTTCAGTCTAGTTCAGTTCTAGTTCAGTTCTAGTTCAGTTCTAGTTCAGTTCTAGTTCAGTTCTAGTTCTTCTAGTTCAGTTCTAGTTAGTTCTAATTCAGCTTATTTAACTGACTTTTTCTTCACTTCACCGTTAATATTTTCATGTTTTGTTGTTGTTATTTTTTCTATTATGTAAATGATCATTTTCATTTGTTTCCATTGTCCTGGTGGTTGCTGCTATTGTTATAACTAGTTGTTGCTATTGCTTTCCATCATTTGTTTGCAAAAGTGGCCAGAATTATATAAAATCCACTAACAATATGCGTTTTTAGCATATTAATTGCAAAAAATCCACCACAATTGTAATGTTTTGTTTTTGCCATATTTTGTTTTCGTATTTATTTCCTCTTTCCTTTATTTATAAAGCTGCTGCTACATGTTCAGAAAGCTTCTTCTAAATAAATAGTTATGCAAATCGTTTTTGTACAGAAACTTGTTATTTAAATCCCTTCCCGCTCTACTAAATGTATTTTAAAAGTATGAACAAACAATATTGGTATTCTGCTCATTTACTTACTCTCTCACAGACAAAACGCAAAACTTTTTCTTCCAACACCATAAATTCTTTTGTTTGTGTAAGTGTACGTTTCCTGTAAGTTTTTTATTCTTCATGTATTTGTCTTTGTCTATAATGTTATTGTTGTTGCTGTTACTGTTCCTGGTTTATTAGTTTGTTTTGCAATTGTTATGTTTTTTTTGCTGTTGTTGTTTTACAAATAAATTTTATAAATTCCTTGTACGTGCGTTGGCAATAAAATGCGTTTGCTGTCACTTATAATTTGCAAAATAAATCTTTATAAATGTTGCCACCACAAATATTCCTTAGACTTAAATAAAAACAACAAATAATAAAAATAAAAAGATATTTGTATTTACTATTTAATTTTTCCACCTTAATATATGTATGTGTTTCCCCTCCATGTTTGCCTTAAATATCTTAAAATGTTGCAAAATATGTACAACATTTATATGCATTAAGAAAACCGTATCAGACTATGTGGCGTATAAGTAATGTTTAATTAATGTCTTTTCTACGATTGTTAAAAATGTAATGAAATGTTTGTTTGTTTTTGGGGATAGAAAATTGCCATTTATAATTGCAACATTATTGTTTAAGAGGAATATTGTTCTCTTTTCACAAAATGTTTTTAATATTGTTTTAAACCTCACACAGACAGTGGTCAATTAAGGAAAATTTTCCCTAAAATTAAATAATTATATTTTCATCGATAACCTTTCTAACATTCAATTAATAATAAAATTTATTTCTTTTTTTTTTTGCAGATTATTTTCATAGAATATTTGCAGCGTATTTTGAAAAACAATCAAATATTTTTGAATCCTAAGGTAAGTTTTTCCTGTTATTCTTAAGACATTTTCCCAAAAAATTTTTAGTTTAAGGAAATTTTCAAAAATTTAACTTTATAGGAAATTTTCGCAAAATTTACTTTTTATAGCAAATTTTCGCAAAATTTACTTTTTATAGGAAATTTTCGCAAAATTAACATTTTATAGGAAATTTTCGCAAAATTAACTTTTTATAGGAAATTTTCGCAAAATTTACTTTTTATAGCAAATTTTCACAAAATTTACTTTTTATAGCTAATTTTCACAAAATTTTACTATTAAAGGAAGTTTTTGCTAAATTTACTTTTATAGGAAATTTTTGCAAAATTAAATTTTTATAGTATATTTTGCAAAGTTTACTTTTTATAGTTCTAGTTCTGTTAGTTCTGTTCTAGTTCTGTTCTAGTTCTGTTCTAGTTCTGTCTAGTTCTGTTCTAGTTCTGTTCTAGTTCTGTTCTAGTTCGTTCTGTTCTGTTCTAGTTCTAGTTATGTTCTAGTTCTGTTCTAGTTCTGTTCTAGTTCTGTTCTAGTTCTGTTCTAGTTCTGTTCTAGTTCTGTTCTAGTTCTGTTCTAGTTCTGTTCTAGTTCTGTTCTAGTTCTGTTCTAGTTCTGTTAGTTCTGTTCTAGTTCTGTTCTAGTTCTGTTCTAGTTCTGTTCTAGTTCTGTTCTAGTTCTGTTCTAGTTCTGTTCTAGTTCTGTTCTAGTTCTGTTCTAGTTCTGTTCTAGTTCTGTTCTAGTTCTGTTCTAGTTCTGTTCTAGTTCTGTTCTAGTTCTGTTCTAGTTCTGTTCTAGTTCTGTTCTAGTTCTGTTCTAGTTCTGTTCTAGTTCTGTTCTAGTTCTGTTCTAGTTCTGTTCTAGTTCTGTTCTAGTCTGTTCTAGTTCTGTTCTAGTTCTGTTCTAGTTCTGTTCTAGTTCTGTTCTAGTTTGTTCTAGTTCTGTTCTTTCTGTTCTAGTTCTGTTCTAGTTCTGTTCTAGTTCTGTTCTAGTTCTGTTCTAGTTCTGTTCTAGTTCTGTTCTAGTTCGTTCTAGTCGTTTTTCTAGTTCTGTTCTAGTTCTGTTCTAGTTCTGTTCTAGTTCTGTTCTAGTTCTGTTCTAGTTCTGTTCTAGTTCTGTTCTAGTTCTGTTCTAGTTCTGTTCTAGTTCTGTTCTAGTTCTGTTCTAGTTCTGTTCTAGTTGTTCTAGTTCTGTTCTAGTTCTGTTCTAGTTCTGTTCTAGTTCTGTTCTAGTTCTGTTCTAGTTCTGTTCTAGTTCTGTTCTAGTTCTGTTCTAGTTCTGTTCTAGTTCTGTTCTAGTTCTGTTCTAGTTCTGTTCTAGTTCTGTTCTAGTTCTGTTCTAGTTCTGTTCTAGTTTGTCTAGTTCTGTTCTAGTTCTGTTCTAGTTCTGTTCTAGTTCTGTTCTAGTTCTGTTCTAGTTCTGTCCGAGTTCTGTCCTCTTTTGTTCTAGTGTAGTTTGTTCTAGTTCTGTTCTAGTTTGATCTAGATCTGTTTTAGTTTTTCTCTTTTTTGTTCCCCTGTAACATATTTTAATAAGGACACCAACCCAATTTTTTTCAGTTTTTTTGTTTCCTTTTTGTTGTAGTTTTTTGTTGCAAATGCTGAATGCCGAAATAACAACCATATGGTTATTAATGTCTTTGTGAATGCTCCATAACTACTACTCAATTACAAAACTTTAAACATTTTTTTTAAGAAAAAAAGGAACGACAAAGTATTTGTGCCATGGAGTAGTACATCATTTCGCCCATACTTATACTCTTCCTTTTCATTTCCTAATATTTATGTTGAAGTTTTCTCTTTATGTTCCAATTGTTTTTATTTGTTGGGCTTTTGTTGTTGTATGTGTGTTATTTAAAATTCTCAACAACAATAAAGAGAACAACAGCAGCAACAACTGGTAACTAGTTCCTTTTCCTCTACTCCTTACAATACTAATAACAGTTTATGGTTGCTGCTGTGTTCTTCTTCATCGTCATTTAGCTGTGAACATGTGTGTGTGTAAAAGAGAGTTTGCAGTCTTTTGTATATTTTTCTTCTTACTTTTGCCTCATTTTATGTTGGAAATGAAGTTTAATGTTTAAGTGTTGCATGTTTGTATTGATATATGTATGTATGTGTTGCTAGTATTTAGTATGCTAAACGTGTTTTTCGGTTTTATAGCCCATGCTTGTGATATTTATGGTTTATTTGCAGTTTAATGTGCACCAAGGCATTAGGTATGCTATTTTGGGCTTTTCTATAGTACACCAGATATTCATCCATTCATTATTCTCTTACACATTCATTTTGCCCCTTCATTATATAGCTATGTTGCCTCTATCGTTCACCTCCTTCTGCTCCTGTTTAAATTTGCTTCTTATAATGCATATTGCTTAAATATCCAGGACTTTAGTGTATCATTATCTTGTCTGGTTTTTAAGTACCATATTTTGCTTCGATTTTTTCTGTTTGCTTTTGTTGCTGTTATTTAGTTATTGTTAGTTCAGTGTTTTCAATTCGTTTGAGTTTACTTTAAAGTTGATTGCTACGAATCCTTTTGTTTTTTTCACACTCCCCCACTCCTTTTTCTGTCGTTTTATCCTGTGTGTATTGCTGCTTTATTTTAGTGCTTTTATTGGCAACAAAGACCTTTTGCCAGGATTTTAATTGTTTCATCACTATTAAGACAAACAAAAAGCTGCTAAATTGAAATTGTGGTATATTCCTACTTTTTTGGGGGGAAATATTGATGATAGTTTGGGTAATATTTATAATATGCAAGGGGTTGTTTAGAGACTGGTGAGGTTTTTATCATTATTAAGAAAGTAAACAAACCCAGAATAGAACTAGAACAAAAAAGGACAGACTATAACAGAACTAGAACAGAACTAGAACAGAACTAGAACAGAACCAGAACAGAACTAGAACAGAACTAGAACAGAACTAGAACAGAACTAGAACAGAACTAGAACAGAACTAGAACAGAACTAGAACAGAACTAGAACAGAACTAGAACAGAACTAGAACAGAACTAGAACAGAACTAGAACAAACTAGAACACTAGAACAGAACTAGAAAACAGAAAGAAAAAAAAAAGAACAGAACTAAACAAACTAGAACAGAACTAGAACAAAGATAGAACAGAACTAGAACAGAACTAGAACAGAACTAGAACAAACTAGAACAGAACTAGACAAACTAGAACAGAACTAGAACAGAACTAGAACAAACTAGAACAGAACTAGAACAGAACTAGAACAAATAGAACAGAACTAGAACAGAACTAGAACAGAACTAGAACAGAACTAGAACAGAAACTAGAACAAACTAGAACATAACTAGAACAGAACTAGAACAGAACTAGAACAGAACAGAACTAGAACAGAACTAGAACAGAACTAGAACAGAACTAGAACAGAACTAGAACAGAACTAGAACAGAACTAGAACAGACTAGAACAAACTAGAACAGAACTAGAACAGAACTAGAACAGAACTAGAACAGAACTAGAACAGAACTAGAAAGAACTAGAAAAAACTAGAAAAGAACTAGAAAGAACTAGAACAGAACTGAACATACTAGAACAGAACTGAACAACTAGAACAACTAGAACAGAACTAGAACAGAACTAGAACAGAACTAGAACAGAACTAGAACAGAACTAGAACAGAACTAGAACAGAACTAGAACAGAACTAGAGAACTAGACAGAACTAGAACAGAACTAGAACAGAACTAGAACAGAACTAGAACAGAACTAGAACAGAACTAGAACAGAACTAGAACAGAACAAAAAAGAACAGAACTAGAACAGAACTAGAACAGAACTAGAACAGAACTAGAACAGAACTAGAACAGAACTAGAACAGAACTAGAACAGAACTAGAACAGAACTAGAACAGAACTAGAACAGAACTAGAACAGAACTAGAACAGAACTAGAACAGAACTAGAACAGAACTAAACAGAACTAGAACAGAACTAGAACAGAACTAGAACAGAACTAGAACAGAACTAGAACAACTAGAACAGAACTAGAACAGAACTAGAACAGAACTAGAACAGAACTAGAACAGAACTAGAACAGAACTAGAACAGAACTAGAACGAACTAGAACAGAACTAGAACAGAACTAGAACAGAACTAGAACAGAACTAGAACAGAACTAGAACAGAACTAGAACAGAACTAGAACAGAACTAGAACAGAACTAGAACAGAACTAGAACAGAACTAGAACAGAACTAGAACAGAACTAGAACAGAACTAGAACAGAACTAGAACAGAACTAGAACAGAACTAGAACAGAAACTAGAACAGAACTAGAACAGAACTAGAACAGAACTAGAACAGAACTAGAACAGAACTAGAACAGAACTAGAACAGAACTAGAACAGAACTAGAACAGAACTAGAACAGAACTAGAACAGAACTAGAAACAGAACTAGAACAGAACTAGAACAGAACTAGAACAGAACTAGAACAGAACTAGAACAGAACTAGAACAGAATAGAACAGAACTAGAACCAGAACTAGAACAGAACTAGGAACAGAACTAGAACAGAACTAGAACAGAACTAGAACAGAACTAGAACAGAACTAGAACAGAACTAGAACAGAACTAGAACAGAACTAGAACAGAACTAGACAGAACTAGACAGAACTAGAACAGAACTAGAACAACTAGAACAGAACTAGAACAGAACTAGAACAGAACTAGAACAGAACTAGAACAGAACTAGAACAGACTAGAACAGAACTAGAACAGAACTAGAACAGAACTAGACAGAAACTAACAGAACTAGAACAGAACTAGAACAGAACTAGAACAGAACTAGAACAGAACTAGACAGAACTAGAACAGAACTAGAACAGAACTAGAACAGAACTAGAACAGAACTAGAACAGAACTAGAACAGAACTAGAACAGAACTAGCAGAACTAGAACAGAACTAGAACAGAACTAGAACAGAACTAGAACAGAACTAGAACAGAACTAGACAGAACTAGAACAGAACTAGAACAGAAC